GTGGCAAGGCGTCGGAACCCATAGGCACAGTCGTTCCTCTACACCCTCATCAGTAACTTCCCCGCTGGCTATTGCTGTTCCTATCAACGCTACCACGCCTGAAGCTATAGATCGTGCCGCTCTTCTTGCAGCGGTAGAAGATAGCACGCAGACTATCCGTGCTCGAAGGATGTCTATGCATAATGGCAATGGCAATGGCAATGGCAATGGCAATGGCGGTAATTCTATTCCTCCTTTATTGGAACCAAAGCTTCTCGTCACCCCTCCCATTTCGCCGTTAATAGCGACTACAATGGGCCCAATATCCACTACAGGACACGCTCGACGACTTTCCATTGCCCAACCCATCTTGAGTCCAACTGTTGCGGTTGCCCCTGGTCCCAGCCACGGAAGAGCAGCCTCTGTCGCTCCCTCAGCTGCAAAGGCGGCTCCATCTTCGATCAAAGATTTCGATATCATTAAGCCTATTAGCAAAGGTGCATTCGGATCAGTATTCCTCGCCAAGAAGAAAACGACAGGAGACTATTTCGCAATCAAGGTACTCAAGAAAGCCGACATGATCGCAAAGAATCAAATCACTAATGTCAAGGCTGAACGGATGATCCTCATGAAGCAAGCCGAGTCTCCCTTCGTGGTTAAATTATACTTTACATTTCAAAGCAAGGATAATCTTTATCTCGTTATGGAATATCTGAATGGAGGTGACTGTGCGGCATTGATCAAGACTCTAGGATCATTGCCCGAGGAGTGGGCAAGAAATTATGTGGCCGAAGTTGTCTTAGGCTTGGAGTTCTTGCATGAGAGGGGTATCGTCCATCGGTCAGTAGATCTTATGTGAACTGTGTATCCATCTAACTTCCCATCTTATAGTGATCTGAAGCCTGATAATCTGCTCATTGATCAACATGGTCACCTTAAGTTGACCGACTTTGGTTTGAGCCGTATCGGTCTTCTTGGGCGTCAGACGCGGGAATCTCGCCGGCTCCCAGAGAGGCTCCTCGGAGGAAGCAAGGCTAATCGGAATCGAAGGAGCCCAGGATCTCGTCCTACTTCTTTTGATTCTGGCTATCTCCAATCGCCCTTGCTCTCAGCTAAAATTGAGGACACTGGATCTTACTTCAATCCTCGTATGGCAGTGGCGGCACAATTACAAGATGATGTGAGCGAATCTAGTGGCTCAGAAGGCGTGGCACATTTGATGGGACGTCGAGGGAAGTTGGCGCATGCCGAGAGCCCGTTGCAATCGTTCGCATCAGAATTAACCACTGAGCTACGATCGCAACACGGACAATCTGGATCCAATGCAGCACCTCATTCCGGCAATACTCCACCAGGTCCTCCCGAGCCAAAATTCGTTGGCACTCCAGACTATCTAGCACCCGAAACAATTTTAGGTCTTTCTGAAGATGACCGTTGTGTTGATTGGGTAGGTCAACCCATAATCCTCCTTTTTTTTACTCAAGTTATCATCTAGTGGGCCCTTGGTGTGATTACATATGAATTCCTCTATGGAATACCGCCGTTCCACGCGGAAACTCCAGACAAGGTCTTTGAAAATATCTTATCAATGCGTATTGACTGGCATGAGGAATGGATCGAGTTCTCAACGGAGGCGCGCAATTTTATGGAGAGACTCTTGATTTATGATCCCAGCAAACGACTTGGAATCAACGGTGCTAAGGAAGTGAAAGCACACCCCTTCTTTGCGGAAATTGAATGGGACAAGGTCATGCAATCGGAACCTCAGTTTGTGCCTCAGGTTACAGACCCCGAATCGACAGATTACTTCGATCCAAGAGGTGCAATCCCTCAGCTATTCCAAGATGATGAGCCCATCGCCATCAACAGGCCGCCTTCTGAAAATAGCACTGTGAACGAATCTCCGAGCAAAGCTCAAGGCACCTCTGCTGCTCGTGGACTTCTCCGAGACGCAGTGGCTGCTCCAGCAGCAGATGATTTTGGCACGTTCAACTTCAAGAATCTTCCAGTTTTGAAGCAAGCCAACGACGAAGTCATCAAGAAGCTCAAATCGGAGCAATTGGCCGCAGTAACGCATGCGTTGGGAGACGCTGCTGCTGCCCACCATCGAAGGCGTAGCATATCCCGGAGGATCAACAAGCCGACGGCCGTCCTCACCAACTTCGAACCTAAGGTAAGTTATATCTACAGGATACTATCACATACTGACCAACTGCACAGGGAAATACCAACCCTCCGTCTCCTTCTACCTCTGTATCTTCTATCGCTTCCTCTCCTTCTCGTGGAAGCATGGGCCCCTCAACCCCCGGTAGTATACAAGCTCATCTTCGTCGTCCATCCGAATATTCTGCTGTCGATCGCTTCAAGTTGAACCAGGGGGAAGAAGCGAGGAGAAACTCTATGCCTAGTAGGCTGAGGACAGCTTCAGTTTCTAGCTCTGATCAAGATCCCTCCTTCTCTACTGCCGAGAGTTGGTCTCAGTCTGTTGGCACATCAATGACTTCGGCTAGCCCTGCCCCTCAAGAGCAGAAGAAGGCCCAAGATACGGATCGTGCAGTTGTCTGCTTGATCGCAGAAGATAACCCTATCTCTGCTAAGATTTTAGAGACTCTACTGGTTCGACTTG